AATTCAAATACAGAAATTCCAAAACTGATGTCAAAAGTTCCGACAACGAAAAAGAGTGAAAATTCAAAGTTTGATAAAAGAACGAACAAAGAAATGAAAATTCAACAACGAGAAAAAAACAGAGATGCATTGAAAGCAACGATATTGTTATAAAGGTTTTGTTAATCTATTGAAGATAAATAGTTAATAATAATAAACTTTTATTAAAAAGAAAAATATTTATATTTTTATAATTTTAATATAATAATTATTTATTTATTTATAAAAATTTTTTATCTGTGAATGTTTAAATTAAACTCTTAAGATTAAAATTAACAAAATTCTTATTATAATACTGTAGATGACTTGACTGAAAAATTTAACATTAAAAAAAATTATAAATTAGGTTTAGTCAATTAAACAAATAATAATAATTTTCCATTCTCATAAATGCCGTGTTTACCATCCTATTTTGATGAGATTTAATCATAACATCATGAGATCATATCATTGAACTTAACAAATATATTATTGATGATGATTTGAATCCCATATAAAAAATTTTAATGGTGACCCCTTTTTCTTTTTTAATTTCACCCAAAATATATTTTATATTTTGCGGACATATGCGCATGGAATGGCTGCTAAGTCCATGGATGCGTATGGTGAATGATTATGAGTGTAAATTTTTTTGTGCTATTAATTATTTAAAATTTTGTAAATATGACTTTTAAATTAAATATTGTAAAAATTAATAATTTGAAATAAAATAACATTATAAAAAAATATTTACATAAAAAATATATTTCAATCAAATTCAACTACAAAGATGTTTATGTTATATGATGATATAAGTCTGAGAAATATTTGAATAAGCATGGTTTATATCTTTTCTCAATAGTTGAATAAACGTTACCTATAACTTTAAGTCTTTGAGGGATCTTAAGTCTAAAAGAATGATTTTCTTTTTCTTTTCTTTTCACCTTTGCTTGAGCACCCTATTACTAATTATTAAGCAATTTTTACTATCTTACATTACTATTGACACCATCGACTACTTCTATTGCCATCATCACTGTACTACTTGACACCTCTCTTCAACTGTCAATTTTATAATTATCTATTTCCTATGGATGTTGCATATCACCCTCCATTACTATTTTGATTCTTGACTACCAATGCTGTCAATTCATTTCACAACATTTACGATTCATATTGATTAAAGCAAATTTTAAAAATATATTAAAATTTACATTTTAATAAAATAAATGTAGTTTTGATAAAAGGATAACTTTATTATTTATATATCATTTATATTATATTTTCTTTATCGTTATATAATTGTTATCTTTATTATATCCTACTTTTTATTTATATATTTCAATTTTAATCTTTTATATATATATATATATATAGTCAAGATTCATTAATGCTAAATATTAAATTTAAATATTTACTTTATTTAATAATTTTTTTATAAAATATAAAATGAATCAATTCAACTATTGAATTATCTTGTATAATTTTTATGATTGTATACATTTAAATTTTATAATTTAAATATTTATAGATGTATTATTCAAAATTTAATATTTATTTATATTTTAAAAATATATTATTTATCAAACCAATAATATATTTATTATTTTATGATTGTAATCACCGTCACAGAACATAGACCATTTGTTGTTGAAAAGTCAAAAAGGAAATATTGCATGTGAATATACACATATTCAATTATATGTACTATTTTAAATATAATTTATTTATTACAATTTTTGGTTATCATGTTTAGATTATTTTCTTTTAAAAGTTTACAAAAGCATAAACTGTACATTTTTTAGAATAAAAAATGAGGGTTTTAGATCATTAAATGGTCGAAAATGTTTTTAAATTAAAATAATCTCATTTAATTGAAGTAATGACGTCCCTCTTATTCTAATTCTAAAATCATATGTTTCTCTTTTTTCATTTCCTTTTTAAAGTAACTGTACTTTTAAAAATAATTTAATACGTACAAAACCAATAAAACTACTTTTCTTTAATTTATAAAAAATATATATCATAAAATTTTTTATACTCATAAAACAAGATTAATTTATTATTTCGCCCAAACTTTTCATTATTAAAACAACTATTGACTTACAAAATTAAAGGAAGATTTTAAGATCAGTAATAGCATGTTTGTTACAAATTAAAATTGATTTTAAATATTCATTATTCCCATTAAATACACTTTAACTTTTAAAAAATTAAGCAAAAGTTACAACAAGTGACTTATAAATAAGTTAACAAAATGACATACTATAATAATTTTTAAAAGTTTAAATATTTAAAATTTAGTTTTTAATAAATTTTGTAAATAAAAAATTTCAATCTCTTGAATATTTACAATAAGTTTTTTTTAATATAATTTTTTAAGGTAATTTTTTTAAAAAAGAATATAATTATTTATTTATGTGAAATTATATTATATTTTCTCAAACTTAAACTTACTTTCATTTTTGTTTTTAAAGAAAGTTCAAGAATTTGTTGTATTTTTAATGTAAAGTTTAATGATAAATTAAGTGGCGGTTGAAATTTAATTGATAAAAGTCTAAAAAAATATATTTAAAACAAAAGATCTAATAGAATCACTTTGAATTGTTATACTTTTAACCTTAGTCTTTGTAAATTTAAAAATATTATATGTTTATTTTAATTATTTTAAAAATTAATACTTTAGTTTAATCATAATAGAGATAATGACTAAAAATATTTCATTGATTTGGAAAAAGGTAAGGAATTTATTTGTTATAATTTTATTTAAGCTATACTTATTAGCTTAAACAAAATTTAATCACTAATTAACTAACAAATTTCATCAAATTTACTTCAATCAACACTTATTAGCTTAAACTAATATTGTACTATATTACAAGAATTAAGTAATTTATGTATTGCATAAGTGAATTGAGTTATTTTTTTCTTTAATTTTTGCTTAAACTAGAATAATTGGCTTAAGTGAATAATACAAAACTTGTGTGATATAAAAGTGACCAATATACAAAAAAGACATAAGAAAGATTAAAATAAATATCAAACAATATATTAATACAAAATCTTATTAGCCTGAGTTCAAAAATTACCTTTTACTATATCACTACTGTCTTTAAAATTGATTTGGTTACAGCGCCAGTTCAAACACTTAAAAGATTACAAATAAAGTTTGTTGTAATAAAAGTTTTTTAAACCAATTTTAATATAATAGAATTATAGAACATAAACAAATAGCACTCATATATTTGAATTTATTTATTTTTTAAAAACAAATGCTTTTATTAAAAATATTATAATAAAATTTTAAATATGAATAATTTCAAATACATAAAAATTAAATTATTTATTACACTTGAGAGAATATTATATATTTTTTAATATTTTAAAAATAAAAAAATATTTACATATTTTTAAATAAATTATTAATTCAACTATTTATTTATATAAAATTAATAATATAATTATTTTTTTATAAAAAATATTTTATACCTCTCAATTTATAAACACCTTAGAAATTTACAAAAGTCTAGACTCTAGATAAGAGAAATTAAATCTTGTTAACTGTTAGTCCAAGATGCCGGTTAATTTTACTTTGCATGGTTAGACCGTGAGATAATAACCATACAAAAATGTGATAAGGAGGAACGTAGTACTGTATATAAAAATAAAATTATTAATAAATGTTTTATAATTTTTTTAATTAAATTTTACAGTAAAGATGTATTATTGTCGATAAATATTATATTTTTTATAAGAATTATTTATTTTTATTAATAGTTTTAGTATAATAACCTTCTTTAATATTATTTAGTTTGAGAAAGAAAATAGAAAAAATAAAAAAAGTGATTGAATAAAAATATATATTTTACATTATTTTATAAAAAAAAATTAAATTTAAAATAAGATAAAATGTGTTTTTTTTGTGTGTGTAAAATCTCAAAATATATCATTTTATCTTGTACAAAAGTTATACAAGAGTGTTAAATTTTGGCATTTTGACACTCGTGAAATTTATATATATATATATATATATATATATGTATATATATATAATATTTATCATAAATAAGACATTTAAATTTATAATAAAATTAATTTTCTTCTTAAATATAAAATTCTATTGCTTATAATTTAATAAAATATTATTATTTATCAGGAATAATTTTATATTGTACACTTTTCTATTTATTCTACCTCTTTTTCAACTTAAATAGGGAAAAAATTAGATACATTAATTTCATTGAGTTTTTTTTTTTATCTTTTATTATTAATACTACCAAACAAAATAATAAAAATAAAAAAATTGTATTTTTCAGTTCTTCTATTTTCGCTTTTGAAGTGTGAAAGTGATTGAAGGAAGAGAGCATATATATGATTTGTATATCGCGGCGAGTTGTTGTCTGACATCACCTAAACATAATGAATAATGTTGATCCCCAAAACAAAGCAGAGGCAATGACATGCATTGGTCTCGTTGGGTATTTTTAAAATTATTTTTTTAAAATATTTTTAATATAATATCAAAATTTATTTAATGCTAAACGGTTTATAAATGTCCAATTCAGTAGATTACGGTTTGCAGGTGTTTAATCTTAAATACAAAGAGAGTTTTAAAATTATAATATTCTTTATGAGATTCATATAATTTTATTTTTATAAATAAATTTTTAAAAATGAGTTAAAATTAATTTTTTAATAATACTATTGTTGATCCCTCGGATGCAAAGAAATTGGGTGCAGTAATTTTGAGTGTTTGCTTTTTCCTTTGGTTTATTCTTCTTGTCATCTAGCAAGGAAGAAACAAATTCAATTGGAAGGGCCTGCAAGAAAGCTTTCTTGGCACTAATACCGTGAAATAATGGGTGAAGTGAGGGGTTAAGCATTGATTTTTATTTTTTTTCGAAAAAAATATTATCCATTTTATGGTCCAAACAAGTTGGGACTATAAATAAAAAGTGTAGGCTCTTTGGTTCATTGACAGAAAAAAGGGTAAGGCCTCAGCTCTTACAGAAGAAATGTATAGGAAAATTGGAGGGATGATGTTGATAGGGCTTTTGGCCTTTGCGTATAAAGAAATTCAGGCACCACCGGCAAGAACATGCGGTTCTGCAGGTGGTCCTCCGATCACAGCTCCAAGAATAAAGCTGAGAGATGGAAGACATTTAGCATATGCAGAATATGGTGTTCCCAGAGAAGTAGCGAAGAACAAGATTGTATTCTTACACGCCTTTGCATCTTCGAGACATGATACTATGGTTGCAACAAGCCTTCCCCAGGTATATTCATTTGTTGATTAAGGACACAGCTTAAACAGGTATTGAATTTTGGGGTGCAATAATGATCAGGGACTTCTCGAGGAACTGGGAGCTTACATCGTGTCTTTTGATAGAGCTGGTTATGGAGAGAGTGATCCTGATCCTAATCGAACAGTGAAAAGTTTGGCTCTTGATGTTGAAGAGCTTGCAGATAAATTGGGACTTGGAGCTAAGTTTTATGTCATGGGATTTTCCATGGGAGGACAAGCTGTTTGGGGTTGCCTCAAGTTCATTCCTCACAGGTAACAACACTTTCTTCTTCTTCTTCTTCTTCTTCTTAATTATTGTTTTTGTTTTATTTCTTTTATCCCATTTTTGGTTACATAAGAATGAAGTATGATGATAAGAAATTGATGGAGCACAAACTTCCAACCATGACATTATATTCAACAGCTATTCACTGATCCCCTACTGCATCTAATATAAGAACACGCCAAAGCATTCTTTTCAATGTATTTATTATTATTTATTCAATTTGTTAAAACTAGAAAAGGAGATTTACAGGTCTTATTTTTAATAAAATTTAGTCACTAATTGAAAATATATTAAAAATGTGTTTGTAATTCTATTTTTTTTTCTGTTAAAAGAACTTTTATATGAGCTTTACTATTTTTTTTTACATTTTTTTCTAATAATCATCCTCCTATTAAAGTATTAAATCAAACGTACCCATATTTAGTATTTTAAAAATTATTTAATAGTTTTATTTTTAATAATTTGAAGAATTTATAATTATAAAAAGTAAAATATATTTAGAATTATTTTTTATCAAAATTTTTAACCTGTAAATTTTTAAAAATTATATAATTTAATACAATTAAATGTAGTAATACTAATGTTATAATTTTTAATTAAATTTATATTATATATAACTTATCGTATACGATAGTATATACATTTAACTAGTTCATTTATTATGCGTAAATTCATATAAATTAAATCATTAATTAATTTCTCTTTTATTTATTTTTATTTTTAATAGTCTCTTTTTAATTAGTAAAAAATGTATAATTAATAAGACATTTCAAATTTTTTATAATGTAAAACTTACAGTCATTTAGTGACATTGGATCAACGGTCTAACAAATGCTTCGGAATTTGGAATTTTGGCTTTTGATTGACTTTTAAGATTTTGATTAAAATTAAAATTTAAGTATAGTGTTATAAATATTTTTAAGTAGTATTTTTTAATTAAAATTTATTTTTGGTAATGTATATTAATATTTAATATTAACATTTATTCTGTGGATTATCAAAATAAAATTTTAATATATTGAAAAGCAATATAAAAAATACATGTAAAATTATATTAAAATTTTGTCCTTTCATTAATCTCACTTTTTAAAGATAAACTTACGTAAAATATTTTAAGTATTCTTAATCTTAATTTTTAATTAAAAATAAAAAATTTATTTTAATTATTTGTATAACAAAAGTTAAAATTAAAAGTAGATATTAGTTACTTAAAAATAATGTAACAAATATTAAGATAGTGAACTTAAAATTTATTTTTTTAATTTACGTGTAATACGAAAAATACTATAATACTTTAAAAAAATTCAGAAAGTAATATTGGAACATCTTAAAATTGCTTTGATTAAAACGGAAGAGGTGAATTTTAATTTTGGAAGAATTCCTTTATAATTGTGGATCTATTTAAATATTTATGTTAGATATTAATAAACAATCTTATTATTAAAAATTAATTAATAGTTTTTAATTTTTTAAAACTTTCAAATATTTTAAGACAAATTGGAAACTTAAAATGACATTTGATGTAAGATATAGAAAATAATTTAAGATATTTAATTAAGTGTATTTAGTATTTTTCACATTATATGTCCATGCTCATATAGTAAAATAATATTCTTTAACTATATTAGTTAAAAAATAAAATGATTATTAATGTACTTTGACTGTAATTTTTTTATATATCCCTAACATAAATTTAAGAAAAATATTTATTAATTTCTTCATCGTTATTAACAAATTTCTTTTAATTAATTATTTTCTATTTGAACTCTCCTTTTAAATTACAATGTGTGAAATTTTTGTGATTTTAATAAAATAACATCGATCTTACCCTATTCAGTAATTTTGAAATGAATTTCAATTAATAATAAAAACTTTTAAAAAAATGTATTGTTATTTGTCAACTTTTTGGATTAACAACGTCAAATTTAAAAAACAAACTTGAATTTTTGTACTAAATAAAAGACTTGTTTGAGTACGGGTTTGATAGGGTATTGATACATCTTGAATTGCGCACACATAAATGAATTGGGTCCAATGATGGGTGTGAATATGGTAACAGACTTGCTGGTGCAACACTGTTGACGCCAGTAGTCAACTATTGGTGGCATAACATTCCAAAGAACATGTCGACAAAGGCATTCTACGAGCAACCAAAACAAGACCAATGGTCACTGAGAGTTACTCACTATGTTCCATGGCTAACTCACTGGTGGTTAACTCAGAAGTGGTTTCCTTCATCAAGTGTTGTTCAACTCAATCCTGCTGTTTTCTCCCACCAAGATTTGTCAATCCTTTCCAACCTCTTCAGACCACATCAGGTACTGTACCAACCACCAATCCTGCTGATTAGTTGGACAAACCACGTTAAGATGTCATCACTAAATTATCAATAAATTTTATTTAATTAAGAGGGTTTTTGGTATCTAATTTTTTTTTTTATAAATTTTCATAAATGTATTTTTTATGATTGTTTACTAAGTAACTTTTTTTAGAATCTTTTCATTTTCTCTCATTTTCATGTTTAGTATTAAAATAAATTTACTCAAGAATATTATTACTTTTACAAAAATATCATTAACTTATAAAAAATAAGAGTCCATACTTAACAAATAGTAAGAGCAGAATAGCTATGGAAGAGAAAACGTGAGAGAGACCAATGAAATAAAGAGAAGAGAGAGTATAAAAATGATTTGGAATTGGTAAAGTGAAGAAGAGTAAATAGAAGCATTTTTGTCCAAAAATTTTATATTACTGGATAAGTTAAGGATACCTACCTATTGAGATGAAAAAATTAAAATTTTAATTTCTTCACAATTCAAGTTTTTCAAGAATCTCACATTCTTGAGAATATTTTTTTTATCTTATACTAAACACAAGTAAAAAAACTTTTTAAGTAACATTATAAAAAAAAGTTAAAAGATTCTAGATACTAAACACCTCATAAAGGATATTTTTAATTATCTTAAGGACATCCGTTAAATATAAAAAATATTATTTATTATTTGTTTTGATCATTTAAATCATTAAATATTTTTGTGCTTTAAAATTTAGTGAAATATATTGAAACATGTTTTACGTTAAAGAAAATAATTCACTCATTTGAAGAAATATACGTAATTTTAATGTAATTTTTCTTTCAGCTTTTGTGCAAAATCAAATATGAGCGAGCTTTTATATGCACATATCTTTATTATATACCATCATGTTTGATTATTAAGAAATACTTTTTGAATATTTGAAAATTACTTTAGTCTCCAATCTCTCCTAAAGTGTCAAAACGGGCCAGCCTACTTCAGCTTATCCTGCTCTGCCAAAAACATGCCTAAAAATAAGTTAGTTCGAGCCTGTCTTAGTTTAAAAATGGGTCACTTTCTAGTCTGTCCTATTAAGAATAGGCTGGTAGGCTAACAGGTTAGTGGATCATTAAATTAATAGGCTAGCTTACTAAAAATTAATAAAAAATAAAAAATTTACAATAAATAATAAAAAATATTTTTATATTAATAAAAATTAATATTTTATTCATATTTTTTTATAAAAAAAATAAATTTTGAACCCGACGGGAGGGGATTTTAAATATTAATTGTGTTTTGTTATTGTTTTACCAATGATCTTCAAGCGTTTATTTTGACAACCAACAACAAATAAATATTTAACAAGAGCAGGCTAATAGAATAGGATAATTTATATATACATCTCTGAAGGATAGTATAATTGATGGCTTTTTTTTTAAAAAAAAAAATTAAACAAATCTTCCTCTACTTATATAGTAAAATAATACTTTTTTTTTCTGTTAAAATAAATCTTAATTTTTTTTATATTGCTACATGAATGGGAGGAATTTGGCATCCAGTAATTTTTTTATATATATATAAATTGAAATTTTAAGAATATGAAATTTGTCAAGAGGAATAAGACTACTGTACATGGCCTTTCTCTATAATCAAGTCAATTTCAAATTTACCCTTCTAGTTTTAAATTCAATTTGATTATTTCCTTCTATAAACAATGAGCTCCTTTATCAATTGGATTTTATACAGGTTTTCATTGTTAAATGAAACTCATGTAAAGTGTATCACAAAAATTAAAAAAAAAAAAATCCTAGGATTGATTATAAAAAAAAAAAAATGTAAGGTAAAATCGGAATGGTCTTGGTTTGAAATTTTGAACTATACTCGTTGAAAGACTTTGGATCAAATGTAGTCCGTTATGAATCACATATTAAGTAGAATAAAATGTTTAACGTGTTATTTGAGTTATAAAATTCTCTTATCTAATAAGTTAGTTTTTGGGTTGAGTTCTTTTCATATATTTAAGTTATAACAATTAGTAACTTCACTAGGAGTTTAGTTGTTAAAAATGGTTACTTATACTAAATTAAGATCCAATGTACTAAATTAAGATTGGTGTGTGAAGTTACCAAAAATAAAAAATTACCACTATAATGTCAACTAAACATTAGGTCTTAAGAGGGATGGAGGAGGAGAATGTTAACCATCTTGTTTTATTTTCCTCAACGTGAGGCTTATAACATACTCATAATAATAGTATGGATTTTAAAAGAATTTCTGAAAAAATTGGTGGTAGTAACCTGTATCTTCATCTTCATGTGTTTAAATATCATTTTACCTTTATGCATCCTAATAGTTTTAGATAATAATACTTAGAATGAAATATTGGTTTACATGACACGATCTAAGAGTAGTCCAAGTTAAAATATATGACCTATGTGTCCTAAATTGGCTAACAAATTTTTTTACTACAAGTAGAAACTAAATAGACACTGATGTTAGCTTAATTAACTGCAGTCACAGGTGCAACAACAAGGTGATGCTGAATCCGTTTGTCGTGACTCAATAGTTGGATTTGGAAGTTGGGATTTTGATCCACTTGATATTGATAACCCTTTTCCAGATAATGAAGGTCACGTTCATCTATGGCAAGGCGATGATGATCATCTTATCCCTGTTATGCTACAACGTTATATTGCCCAAAACATTCCTTGGATTCAATACCATGAATTGTCTGGTGCTGGACACATGTTTCCATACCTAGAGGAAGTGAGTGCAGCTATCATCAAAACACAATTAGCCGATTAAAAATTACTATAAATTTCAATTAGTCATCAAGATTGTTCGGATTGATCATTTTAATGATTGGGGTTTTAAATTTTTTGTTAGTCTTAACTTTATTTAATGTCATTTACTTTAATTACTCTTTTTTAGTATTAATTAATATAGTAAAAATTGAAATAAAAAGTTAAAATAATGACTTTTGGCTATGAATGATTGATGAAGAATTTAAAAATATTTAGAGAGTAAAATGCTTGACTAATACAACTTAAAAGACTAATTTTAGAGTTTATTTAATTAATATTTTTTACTTTGACATGAATTTCTTTTATATATTTTAGCGAGGCAGCAAAATAGCAACAATCATATATTTGGGAAGAGTAAAGTTAATTTAAAAACTAATCAATATATGTTGTTATATTAGTAACACACATTTTGGGAAAAAGAAAAAAAAATCAAATTGAAGGGTGACGCACATTAGTCTCCTTTATATCGAAGTTTTGTAAACATAAAGGCCCATAGCTTTTGGAAGATGAATCCGATAAGATCAATATTCTCTCGGAGACTACAAGAGAAATTGACAACTAATAAAAGGCTTAAATCACACACAAAACACGTGTTTGGGTGGCAGAGAGTATTACATGACCATGCACTTGGGATGCATAAGCTACTCTTAGTGTAACTTGAAAAAAAAACACATTCAATGTTAGGAAATACTGGAGCATGCAGATATGCCATAAGAGATGAGACTGTTATCAAATAAGTACAACATAATAAAATACACTATTAAGAAGAGACAAAAGTTGGCAAACATAAAAAAAATATTGAATATGAGGTAGAGCCATTTAGCAGGTAAGAACTTTTGCATATATGATATGTTTTTTATTTATCTGTTTTTAATATAAGTTATGTATGACATATACAACATATATATTTTATACTAAAAAAATCAAAACATAATACCTAATTTTTCTGATTTTTGTGCTTTTGTTAAGAAAGAGTCCATGCCATGTAGATGGAAAAAAAAAGAGGAATTACAGCCTGCAGTTTCATTTTTGTTTAAGTGAATCTAAGCAAAAATGAAACTATAGGCTGCAGTTCCTGCATAAACTACAGAGAATCAATTTCTCATATAGATAAGCTCACAAGTCTACAAACCATAGTAATGAAAGATTAAAAACATTAACGATGTACATACCTATACTAATACATTGATTTTGCATATGTCCTAATATCCATACTCTTATTTACTATTAGAAAATTAATGTTTACATGAATAATCTAATAAATAATAGGAGTTACGTTAAGATCTAACAATGCATTAAATAAGTTGTGAGATAGAAGTTATAAATAAAAATAACATCATTGTTGTATTTATTAGTATTATTATCTACAAACTAATTACATATACAATGAAAAATAACAAAAATACATAATCACATTATCACTTCAATAATAAATTAAATAAGAAAATATATTTTTTAAATTAAAAGATAAATTACAAAAAAAAAAGGAAATTTAAATTAATATTAAATTTAGAAAACTGATTAATGTAAAAAAAATGAAAAAGAAAACCAACTCCTAACAATGCTCCCATTTAAGAAACTTTCTAAAAATATTCTTATTTAAGAATTATTGCTCACAAATTATATATAGAAGTGGATATATACAAAGGTTAATTAATACTCAAATTGTACATAGAAGTAGATATATACATAGATTGATTTTAACGCAATTGTCAAGATTTGGTTCAATTATAACTATTCTCACAAGACCCACGAAATCAAAGGAGGAGATGGAGGATGTTTGGTATTTGTACTTCTTACTTTGCCATTCTAATGATGCTTTGTTTCTGCTAGAGTGCTTTTTATCCAACATCATCATTTCAATGAGGCTGTAACAGCTCCCAAAAGCTCCTTTGTTAAATGATTTTCTTGCCCCCTAATTTGGTTGTTGCACTCATTTTAGTAACATTTACTCTCCCATGCGTCTGTTGGTCCAAAGTTTTTTTATTAAATGTTTCTTTGTTTTTTACTAAACAAATACATGGTATGTTTAATTTCTCTTTTAAAAAAAGTTTTTTATATTTTTTTAAAATATAGTATAAATTATACTATATTCATATATGTTTGATTTCTTTTTTAAAAAGAGTTTTTTATTTTTTTCTTAAATATAGTATAATTTAAAAAAAATAGAAAACTTTTTTTTAAAAGATTTATACTATATTTAGAAAAAAAATAGAAAATTCTTTTTAAAAGAAAAATCAAACATATTTAGTCTCAGATTTTCCTCTCTTTTATTTTCTTTTTTCGGTACACATCAATCTCAAATTTTCCTTTTTCTAACTCTCTTCATTTTCTCTGCTGGTTGTTCTTGAGTTTTTCCATCTTTTTTATTAGTAAGAAACTCTGATATTGTTGTTCCTCTTTGACTATGTTTTTTGCATTAAAATAATAGTCACCTGCTTTGTGAAAATCATAATGAAAAACCCAAGTACCTGTGTTATCCATCTGATAACATTACTGACAAATAGAACACCAAACAACCATGTACTTGTAGCTCTAGATGATGTAAAGCAAATGCTGATCTAGAGCAAGTTGTTGTACACTGTTTACACTTATCATAAGACATTCCAAACTTTTCATTGTAATCAAAGCAATGCACTCAGCATCTCATTCCAAATATCAGGCACACCAGGGAGGCACCAATGGCTGCAATCAGAGGAAAGGCCTTTTCCTTGTTTCTGTCTCTCATCTTGGCTTATTATCCTCCTATACACCGAAGGATGCCCGTCTCTGCGCAAAGCCGTCATTGTTGTAATATCTTGCAGATATACTGGAAACCTCATTCTCTTCAGCACTCCTTGTAGCACTACCGAAGGTTCAGGAACATGGAGGTGGCTGAAAAATGGTAGAGGCTGCTTCTCATTGTAGCATTTCCAACCATTTTGCCTGCATATACAAGTCAAAAAACCAAAGTATGTATGTGAGTGAAACAAAAAAAAAATTTAATAACTAAGAGTGTGTTAGTGTTAGAGGGTGTGTTGCAAGGATTTTTTTTTTTTTTTTTTTGCCTTCTTTTGTCTTAATTGGAAAAGGAGGATCATAGTTAAGCCTTAGGCAAATAGAAATAGAATAACTAGTTTGTAACAAAGAAATAGAATAGCTAGTACCTGTTATGCCTAGGTGACATGCTTCTAAAAGTGACTTGGGTTCTTCTAGGGTCTAGATTTAGATCCACCCACCTTGCCCATGTACTTAGTCCTTTCTGATAAGCAACCATAGGATTCATGTTTCTGATGAGATTATTTCCCTCCATGTAGTAATCCCACCTGATATTAATCAAGAGACAACCCACAAGGATGTTAAATTGGCACATTAACGCATTGATATATGCTAAAGGACCTCAAACTTAAAAGCAAGGAACATATAATGTGGAATGTTCACTGAGAATTTAAGCATGAGTGGAGGAAATGGAATGATACTGAATTCAAGTGGAAGATTAGAGAATGATAAATATTTCTTACGAGCTGGTTTGATCAGAGTGAGTCCACCAATGGGCTGAATCAAATACAAGGATATCAACTCCTTTCCAATACCTTGCATTTTCTTCAATCAAGTCCAAATGTAAAATTCTCTTATTTTCTGGACCTTTCTTCACTTCTACTAATAGTGGTGCCCAGAAAAACTCAATTGATGTCTCAAAATCCTTCAGGTGAAAATTTATAAGATCAATCATTTTCAGAGAGGTAAAAGAGAAAACATGTTTTGATAAATGTCTTGCTTACCATGGCATGGAAGGCCATTGCAGGTCCATTATATGTCACCTTTTTTCTACTAGTTGGAATAACTCCTTGCACTAAGCAAACAAGAGATTCCCACTGATTTCTCATGATTGAATCACCCACCAGCATTATTCTCTTTCTTCTCATTCTTCCAAGAAACCTTAGTGCATCAAACCTGTGCAACTCATCAAGAAGTAAAATTTATACACAGGAGTTTGTCCATGAATTAGTATTGAATGCATTTCACACACTCAATATTGCTTCACATGCTTCTCACATCCCATGCTAATTTCAACTATATACAGCACACAAACAATTCAATAGGCCTAATTTCACATATCAGAGGTAGTAAGAGGGGCACAAAATCAAGATCAGTGAAGGGTTCGAATTAGCAACTTTTTATGTGCCCTTTGCAATCCCACACCATCAATAGCATAGTAACATCCCACCCACCCTCCACTCTCATTTAAAATTGAAAAAAATTACATTGACTATAATAAAACAGACTGAGTGCCATAAATATGCCAGCAACAACCATTGATTATATTGATGATCAATCACTTTTTGTGACAATTGAATAATCAAATTAATTAACAGAAAAATTCAACTCATTGCACTAAACTTTTATTTGCAGTGTATTACTATCTATTAACAATTTAATTCTAAGTGTAAGGCAAAAACAATTATGTAAAGTGAGTATGTAGTCATACATACACTAAATATAATAAAACATGATAAAGAATATTCATGGCATGAGTGTATAGGGGAAAAAAAGGGTGACAGTAGTCAACAATTCTACATGCTTAGATAATATAAATATATATATATACCTTGGCATGGAACAACCGTTTGGCTTCCACTTCCACTTCTCATAATCAGAATCTGGCCTTCCATTCTTTTGACAAGTAACTGAAGTGCTGAGATAAGGACAGTTAGAATCATAGAGAGGGTAAGAATCATCATAAACCCATTTTCCAACTGAAAAGTCACATCTCTTGCTAGAATTTCTTTGGCTTTGGACCATGCTAACATCATCGGCTTGAACCAGAATGCCAACCTCATCCTCAGGGTCCAGCAGAGATAATGAGCAGCGGAAGAAGCTTAGAAAGGTGAAGCACAACAATGAAAAAGAAAGCAAGAGAATCTTTGGTCTTGCCATGGGGTGAGAGAGCATAGAGTAGTGTGAAGAGTGTCAAAAGATGAGAGAAGGTTTATGTAGATTGGAAGGGCCAAGTGTTATGAAGTTAAAGTGTTTGATCAAGGCATGACTTGCGGTGTTGTGGAGGTGTGGACCATGGAAATATGACATTGATACTTGTACTTATTCCTTTGCTGACACTCTATTAATTGACATCTGTGTTCCTTTTCTTCATTTACTTAAGAAAAATGTTTTGTGGGGTGTCTATACCTTCGAATAAAAAGAATAAAAGGAGAGAAAATTAATAAACATGATAAATAATGTAATATGATACGAAGAGAGAAATAAAATATATTAAATAAGTGTTGATACTGTTAAAATGTTTGTAAATCAAAGTTATCAATTGCTGGTACCTTATTTCCTTTTTACCCACAAAAGGAAAATTGATCCTTAGAATAGAATGAGTAGCTGTGTCATGGTTGAGACAGGTAGGCATGTGCAGTTGCTGTTGTCTGACATTTAATGGGTTTCAGAGATGAATGATTTTTGTTGCTTGTTTTCAGTTTCTGAGGAACCAGATGAATACTATTAGTTTCATCTCACATTATTTATTTTTAAAAAAAGTTTCGTTAACATCAAATCTAAAGATTAATTTTCAATATTTATAAATATAATTTAAAAAAAAATACGTATTTATTATATTAAAATTAAAAAATATAATAAATACTTCTATTTTTAAGTCAAATTTAACAATTTCCTCTAAAAGATTGTTATTTTGAAAAATTAAAAAGTATTAATTTTTTTATAACACCCTTATTTATTAGTGTCTCACGTACATAATTAATTGATAATTATATTCTAACTCTTTTAAAAAGAACATTTTAGTTAAAAATTATATTTTAAAAAAAATTGTGAAATTTAATAATTTTTTAAAATGTTTGTGTATTACCTTAAAAAAAGACAAACAACATAATACTGGGTCAGCTTTTCTACTAGGTGACCGAATGATGAGAATTTTTGTCATCCTTGTTTTCCTCTTTTTCATGGAGCAGAATGAAGAAAAAAGAAAAGAGCAAAGGAAAAAACTTAATGTCTAAAGTGAATCATCGTCATTATGTAAAAAGCATAATGCTGGTGGGATCTGCTGGGCAAGATCCTTGTTTTCCTTTACATCTTTTGTACCTTCGATGAAACAGCGCTCTGTTTTGATCTTTTGCATATCCAATCAAAATACACGTTTGATATTGGAAACCAAAAGTTTCTTTTAGAGTATTGGAGAAAATTAAAGACTTTTTAAAACAACAACAACATTTTTTAAGTGATTAAGAGGAACAAGAGTTAAAATGTTAAAGATTTATTCAAAATGCCTTTTTCACGTGAAATAAAGTATTTTTCTCATAATTTTAAATTGTTATAACTATAATTATTTTATTGTCTTTAACATTCAAATTTTAATTTTTATTTTGAATATATGTATCTTCTCACTAAAAGCAATCATGTTCGAGCTTGTTATGAATATTCATTGACACACAAACTCAGGACCATAAATTAAGTTTGAATAACCTCCGTAAGTAATTCATGCGTTTGGTAGTGTTCAAATTTTAGTTTTAAATGTGAATATAATTGCACTAACAGAATAAATAATATTATCTCAATTAAAATCCAACATGCCCCATTTAAGTACATGACAGAACAACACAAATCGTGTAGAATTTGTTGTGTTTGTCTACCTCGGTTGTTTGAGGCCTACCAGCCAAATAACTTCAACCCATAAATATTAAAAGAAATCTGTTCAGTTTCTTAACTCTGGAAGGAGTTGGGACTGTTCTCATTGGTGTCTTCAGCTTTAGGCGTGGTTGAGAATTGGATGGAGGAGGATATTCCTAAAAAGACCTCTTTGAAGCTCAAGTCAATAGGTAAATGAACATATTTCAGAGTTAAGGTCCTTCCCTTTATACAGACGTGCGCTTCTCTGAGTTTTAGGAGTTATACCATTAAGTTCACAGTAGTTGAATAGCTAATGTCAATTGAAATAGGCTACCTTTTGAAACCGCTCAGAATCAGAATCAATATTCATTATTAGTGTTTATTTTTACTTTTATGAGTTTTGATTATAGAAATTATGGGTATTAATGAGCTGTTACACATTTATGAATAGTTTTATTTGTGATTTATTTTCATATTAATGAATATAATCAAAATTAATTTTGAGTTATAACTTTCTTATATTTAAACGTTGTTAGTATTAATAAAAATGTAAGTTTCAACTTCCAAGTTCATAGGTTTCTAAATTTTTCATGGTTATAATATTTAGTAATCATAACTTTATTTATTCTTGAAAGATATGATAAGGTTGAGAGTTCTACTAAACACCTAAACACTTACATTAAGAATTAAAAATGCAATTTGATAACTCAATCATAACATTACTAATTTTTGAAGGTAAAAATTATCACCTATAGGCAATTAGAATGGAGGCTTTTCTTAATGCGACCTTTGGGAGGTTGTTGAAGAGGATTATGAGGTAGGACAAAATTCAATGCTTTATCAAATTAGGTTTCATAAGGAAAGAATACAGTGAAAATCAAAGGCAAAATCTTGTCTATTTTCTATTGTTTCTCTATAAATTTTTATTAGAATTATGACTTTAAAATTGGCAAAGGCTATATGAGATTTTCTTATGTAGAAATATAAAGCAAATGAGAAAGTCAAAGGGATGCAAGTGTTGAATTCGATCAAGGAGTTTGAGATGCAACGGATGAAGGAGTCAGACATAGTGAAAGAATATTCTGACAGACTTCTAAGAATTGTAAACAAAGTGAGATTGCTTAAAATTAAGTTTCCTGATATGAGAATTGTTTAAAAGTTCTTGTGATTATTCCTGAAAAGTTTGAATCCACTATTTTCTCTTTGAAAAATTCAAAGGATTTGTCAATTGTCACTTTAACAAAATTGTTATATGTTTTTGCAAGCCTAAGAACAAAGAAAACTCATGAGGGAGGAAGGTGTGATTGAAGGTGCATTATAGGTCAAACTGAAACTTAGTCATGACAACAAAGGAAAGAAAAAGAAGACTCAAGGGAGCAACTTTGAGCAAGGAAAGAGTTCTAACAAAAGCAATAAAGGAGAAGATGAAAACCCCAATCATTCTCCTTGTCAACACTGTGGAAAAAGGAATCATCATCACTTCAGATGTTGGAAAATGCCTAGCATACTTTGCAACAAATGCAACCAGCTAGATCATATTGCAAGAACAAAAAATAGTCTCAAATTGAAGCAAGTGGTTGATCAACAACAAGAGGAGAAACAATTATTTGTAGCAACCTGTTTTGCCACTAGTAACAATGATGAAAGTTGGTTAATTGACCGTGGATGCACATATCCTGAGACCTATGATGAAGAATTGCTCAAAGAGTTGGATCGAACTATGGTTTCAAAAGTAAGAATTGGTAATGGAGATTGCATAGATATGAAAGAGAAGGGCATTATTGCAATTGAAAGTTTATGTATAAAAATAATCATTAACGTGCTTTATGTACCTAATATTAATCAACATCTGTTGAGTGTTAACCAATTGTTTGAAAAAGGCTAAAAAGTCTTGTTTAAAGCTAAAATGTGTTTGATAAAAGATGTAAGTAGGCAAGATTTGTTCAAGGACAAAATGAAAAGAAAAAAAATTCTCTTTAGATCTGATGGAAGAAGTGCAAGCTATATCAAGATCGATTAATGTTACTAAACTTTGGCACAAGAGAATGGGTCACTTTAACCATGTTGCATTGTCGAACATGAAGAAGCATAATATTGTGAAAGGCTTGCCATCATTGGAAGATCACTTAAGTAGTTGTAGTACATGCCAATGGGAAGCAAATCAGGCTGCCATTTCCACAAGCAAGATGAAGAGTTTCACAAAAAATCCAATTGATTCACACAGACCTTGGAAGACCTCAACCTAAATTGTCTTCACAAGGGAGTAGATATTATATTACCTTTATTGAGATTTATTTCTTGAAATTCAAGTTTGAAGTTGCAAGAGTGTTTTGGAGGTTCATGGCTTGGATTGAAAATCAAGCTCGCTGCAAAATTTAGGTTATAAGGTCTAATAATGGAAAAAAAGTACACCTCAAAGCAATTCAATTCCTTCTGTGAAGAGGTTTGGATTGAGCACTAACTTACTACTCCTTACACTCCACAACAAAATGGAGTCAATGAAAGGAAGAATAGAATAATAATGGAGATAGTTAGATGCATATTGCATAAGAAAGGACTTTCAAAGAAGTTATAGGCTGAAGCTACAAATATAGTAGTGTTTCTATTAAATAGGCTTTTTACAAAAGCAGTGCAAGAAAAAACTCCTTATAAAGCATGATATGGCTATAAAACTTTTATTCAAAACTTTAAAGCCTTTGGGTGTATTTGTTTTACTTATGTACCAAAGGTGAAAAGAGATAAGTTGGATAAAATGGCAGAAGCATGAATTTTTATTGGCTATAACACAACTTCAAAATCTTATAAAGTCTTCAAACAAAAACAGGTAAGATTCTAATAAGCAAAGATGTTTATTTTGTTAAAGATAAATAATGGAGCTGGGAGAAAGATGAATGGAAATGGGTTCCTAATTTTTTTTTTAAAAGATGAAGATGAAAATGTTGATGATCTACCTATTAAAGGAATTAGATTACTTTATGGGATTTATGAAAAATGTAATGTTGTGTTAGAACCTGCAATTTTTTTTGAAGTTGAAAAAGATCCAAAGTGGATTGTTGCAATGCAAGAGAAACTTAACATGATTGAGAAGAACCAGACTTAGAAATTGGTTCATAGACCTTAACACAAAAATGTTATTGGTGTCAAATTGATGTCTAGGACCAAACACAGTGCAAATAGTTCTGTTAACAAGCACAAGGCCAGACTTGTAGTGAAGGGATAGGCTTAAGTATTTAGATTTGATTTCACTGAAACATTTGGTTCGGTTGCTCGGCTTTATACAATTAGAGCGGTTTTTACTTTTACGGTTCAAAAAAGATAGAAGGTGTTTCAGATGGATATAAAATGAGTTTTTCTCAATGGTTATTTGCAGGGGGAATAGATGTTGAGTAACTTGAAGACTTTGCACTTAAAAGACAAGAAAACAAGGTCTATTTGCTAAAAAAGGCCTTGTATGGTTTAAAGCATGCTTTAAGAGCTTGATACAATAGGATTATAAGTACTTGTTGATTATTGGTTTCACAAAAAGTCTCGGTGAATAAACTCTTTATGTGCAATGCTTGAATTTTAAGATTTTAATTGTTTCTTTGTATGTGGATGATCCCTTGGTGACATGAAGCAATATTGCATTTGTTTAGGAGTTCAAACAAGATATAATGAAAGTCTTTGAGATGATAGACCGCGAAAAAATGACTTTCTTTCTTGGCATGAAAGTCAAACAAGATGAGAAAGGAAATTTTATTAGTAAAAAAAAACATGCAAAAGAAATTATCAAAGAAGTTTTAAATGGAGGGAACTCTAAGCCAATGGGTACTCCAATGTTCAGAAGTTGAAGCTTTGCAAAGAGGATGGTGCAAAAAAAGTTAATGAGACTTATATTAGAAGTCTTGTCAGTTGTCTCATGTATCTTATAGCAACAAGGTTTGATATTTTGTATGTTGTAAGTGTTCTTTCTATATTCTTATATTGTGCAAGTAAAGTGCATCTTCAAGCTACTAAATATGTGTTGAGATATGTTAAAAGAACTCTTGGTTATAGAGTCTAGTTCAAGTATAATCAAGAATTTAATCTCCATGAGTTTACTGATAATGATTGGGTAAGTTTATTAGATGATATGAAAAACACTTATGGTTATTGCTTTGCATTTGATTTTGAAGTGTTTTCTTAGGCCTCAAAGAAGTAGAATATACTGGCACAATCAACAGTTGCAGCAGATCTCATAGTTACTTTTGTAGTTGTTAATCAAGTCGTATATATGGTTGAGGAAAATTTTAGCTAATTTACATGTAGTTCAAACAAATTCAACTAAAGTGTTTGTAGATAATCAAGTAACAATTGTAATTTTTAAAAATTCATTTTTTTATAGAAAGACTACATACTTCAATATCAAGTTGTATTTTCTAAGAAAAGTTCAAAAAGAAAGTGAAGTTTTGTTAGAATATTGCAAAACAAAAGATCAATTGACATATATCTTTACAAAGACACTTCCAAAAGGACAGTTCAAGAATTTGAGAAAGAAACTTGAAGTCAATAGCTACTAATATAAGAAGGATTGAAAATTTAAATCAGTATCTATTATTAGTATTTATTTTTTATTATAGGAATTATGAGTATTAATGGGCCGTTACACATTTATAGATAGTTTTATTTATAATTTATTTTCAAATTAATGAGTAGAATTAGAATTAATTTTGAATTGTGACTTTCTTGTATTTAAATATAAATTTTAGCTTTCAAGTCCATAGTCTTCTAAATTTCTCATAGTTTTAACAGAAACTCACCTTGTCTAAGAGTTATACGAGTAAATCTTTCTTTAATTGATAATTTAGTGCATTATTCATGCTTACTAACGTAGACTAGTCTAAGATAGTTGTGTCCAGGATCTGAGATGATCAAGGATCTATACGTGCTTGTGATGCATGATTCTCGGTTGCTATAGGTTCTGTCAATGATGGCAGTTTAAACCTATAGACCATGGTCAACTATGTTGACCCATTGCCCCTGCCAATATAGTTAAAATCAGGATTTTACTTTAAATCGTAAAGGAAAGTGAAAAAAGTAAATCGTAAAATCGTAAATCGAATGTAAGATTTTATAAAATTCATATATATGATATAAATTCATATTATTCATATAAAATATCATAAATTAAGGAGAAAAACCTTCAAATCAGTAAAAACACTTAAACAAAGTAGTACTCACAAATCATAATTTATTCCATAAGAATGTAATGCATCGACGTGAGTAAAAAATAGACCACAATAGAAAAGATGCAAGAAAGCAACACTAAACTTGAACTCAGAGCAGTAGCACACTACTGAGTTTAGTTGCAGACTAGGTTGTACGCACTAGGAGGACTGTTGAATGTTGACAACAATGTTAGGGTTCAAAGCTGCTAGAGGCAAATTAGATTCCATAAAAAGGAGATATATGAAAGAGGCGTCAACTATGATAGGGTTCAATAAAAGAGGCTTTGCAAAGAATTTTCAAAATTGAAGTGAAATCATGAAATTTCACGATTTGAGAGATTTTATGATTTAAATCGAGATTTTACAACGATTTTACTCAACCAGAATTTTATCCATGATTTAAATTGGTAAGACTTCCTAAATCGTAAAATCGTAAGATTTTACAATTTAAATCAAGATTTTAACTACCTTGGCCCCTGCTCAGCGTCGTCGGTATATGACAAATATCAAGGTGATTCGTGAATAGGGAGAGTGGGTCCATGGACTTTTGTTGGTATATGTTCTGATTTTCTATGTATGATGATATCACCGGAGAAAATCGATTATTGACTTCAGATCAAAAATCAATTTGAAATTTTTAAAACCAATAAGAATGACTACAAGTTAAAAAGAAGTTGCAAAAACATAAGTTTTAAACAAGGAGAAAGATGCTATAATACAGATTTTATGTTGCTGTTGATTTGTCAACCTTGGTATCGTTTTCCATTTAACTCAACCATAGCTACCATACATTCTTAGGTTATAAGAGCTGAAAAGAAAAGCCATATCCTTTACCAAGGCTGTTCTTGAAGCCGATTTTGGCATCCCAACCAAAAAGAGTTTGAATTCTTCCAATATGAACAAAGATAAGAAGTAACTAGCGTTGTCAATGTATTTGTACTAGTTTTGTGAGGATTGAACAGACCTTGAAAAATGCTAGCAACATCAACCTACTTTCGGTTGTATGTTAATTAAAATATTTCTACTATTCCATTTATTACATAAGTATACATCTAGTTCAACCAAGTGACCAGCAACCCAACTGAGTCGATGACTAGGCCAAATTTAATAACGTTGGCCGTTTGTCATGATAAAAATTTACATTATTATCTTTCTTTATTCTTTTGGATCAAGACTATTAACAATTTGTACATAGTGTGTAACAAAAACTAACAAACGTACATTTCACAGTACCGGTCATCCCTCCTCTCCAAATTCTTGTGTGAATCTTTCATGCACCTTGAGATCAGCCTTGCTTACAGTTGGCTTCTGTTTCGCCAATACTTTATCAAAATCTACTCTAGTGATGGGTGGAGGAAGAATCTGCATTTAGTGATAAACTATCATAAGAAAACTATACAATAAGAATCAATGCCTTTTTTTCAATTAATTTTCCATCTAGTTCCAACAGTAAAGAAAACAAAAAACAGATTATATCACTACTTATCCAATTGGACTACAGATTAATTAATAAAGTAATCCAATTACATTCTCATATTTATTTCTTTTTCTCACTAGTTTCCTCTTTTATTTCACACCCTATCCTATCAACTTCTGAACAATGATTCAGTCAAACTAAAATTTTAAACTGTCTCTAACTGCAAGTCCAAAAGACAATGAGTCACTATCCAGAGAATTTCAATTAGATATCCATTGATTCTTTGCTGCTTGGCAGCAAGACTACAAAATAACAATCAATCACAAATTCTCATGTAAATTTCAGTTTCCCACCCAGCATGTACCTTTGAAGCAAAGCCTTGTGCATCAAGTTCCTGCAGGGTAATATTAACAGCTCCTCGTCTAGTAGGTTCACAAGGAATCCACATTCCTTTAGAAGTCTTCCTGAAGAACTTAGCAGCGTGTGTTTTACGGACAGGTTCAAATAGTACATCCTTAACCTGAATGAAGGAAACAACAATGTGGCACATCTTGCAGTTTAGCAGAAAGCCTGAACAAGAAAAACTAATACTGCTTAATAGATTCATTCAATAATGGCTGGCTAACTGTAAGTTAAGACTTACACAAACAGCAATATCTGAACCAGAAAATCCATCAGTTTTTTGTGCCAATTCTTCAAAATCTTTTTCAGTTAGGTTATGAGGGGTATCTCCAAGATGCACCTGCAAATATCAAAATCCTTAATAAGGATGGAACATATTCACAAGGCTAGTCATCTTTAGGTGGGAAATGCTTGAAATCTTCTGTACCTTAAATATGTGCTGCCTTGCCTTCAGGTCTGGTAGAGGAATGTATATGCGTTTGTCAAAGCGTCTTCGAATGGCCTAAATACTGTACGTTAGCCTCAATGAAACAGTGTACAATGATAGAACATTCTCTTCAGTCTTCACAGACTTGAAGGATAATTTTCGTACCTGATCCAGAGCATAAGGAGTATTTGTGGCTGCAAGAATGAGAACTTTCTGATCATTGTTTCCCACACCCTGACATGAACACAGTTAAAGCTACAAAGGGAAGCTCGAGATTTCCAAAAAAGTAGATTTTTTTTTTTTATAGAAGGGATATGGAAAGCCCTGACAGTCACCATTCCAGATTTCTAGATAAGCATATCAAGAAAAAATTACAATCAACAATAAATATTTGTGACATTTAAAATAGGGAGAAACCACAGATTATGCAAGAGCAGAACAACTGAACAAGTATGAACTGCATCGGCAGTGTCACAAGCCCAGTCTCAGATTTTGGGCATAGGTAGGAAGTAATGATGCCTTTTGAAGGTTCTTGATGCCAGCTTCTGTAAGAGTGAAATGTTTGGGTGGGAAATTCATAAGTTGTATATCAACCTAAGATGAGCCACATGCCTGCTCATTAATCCTTTCCATGAAGGAGAGGTATCAGTTGATTCCCTTGACCCTTACGATATAGTGGACTCTACTCTGCTTAAGACATTCTTGTTCAAACCAAGGGGTTCAAAAGCCCCACAAATTGCGAGAAGCATACAATATGCAGTTTATTGAAGTTCTAAAGGATAAGGTTCCCTCACTTGGCTTGTGTGGAGAAAGTCATGGAGCCAATGAGAATGGAGGGACGACAGTGATGGATACCATTTCAAACAAAGCAGAATTGATATTGAAGTATCTCTAATACAAATCAACGACATTAAGTCTTAACAATCTGATTGATTAAGGGCTGTTTGCATTAAACTTTGACCCTATTTCCCTGACTTGAAAAAAAGTTGCATCCACTGGACATGTTTTGTAATGCATGCTTAGTTAATTTCAACCATAGATTTTATCTCGTAATGTGTGCTTTGTTGGCTCAAAACACTCCAAAGAGGCACTAAATTAGTAATCAAACCATAAAATTTACTAGTACAAGAAAAAGGAACTCATTGCATATGTAGTGGCTGACACTCTAATCATTGCATATTTCTGCCATGATGGTGAAGGAGTTGGAGTTGATTGAAGCATTTTGCAACCTTGATCTGAAAATTCAAGTCTACAAGTGTGTTGCTAGGAACTCTAAAGGTCACCAATGAATTCTTTGAGCAGATAAAGGCTGCACAAGAATGCAATGAGTACTTGCAAGGCCGACTCAAGAGAGAAGCTGGAAAGGAGCATGCACTTGTTGAAATGAGTAGGGAATGATCAAGTACAATGAACGTAATTGCATGCTTAATGAAGCTGACTTAAGATGCGCAATCTTGGGAGAAGTGCACAGGAGCAAGCTTAGCATTGATCCTAGTGCAACAAAGATGTAACAAGACTTGAAGAAGACCTTCTAGTGGTTTAGAATGAAGAATGAGGTAGCCAAGTATGTAACTTCCTATTTGACTTATAAAAAGTCAAAGGTGGAACATCCGAAGCCTGCTGGAGAATTGCAACCTTTGAATATTACCGAATGGAAATGGGATGACATTGCTATGGATTTCATGTTAGGATTTCCAAATATGACCATTAGTCATGATGTTGTATGGGTTATTGTCAATAGACTGATCAAGTCTGCCCATTTAATTCCCATCAATGTCAAGTATTCTTCAGAGAAACTAGCACAAACTTATCATCCTTTCTCTCTTCACCCTCATTTTCATATAATATTTCAAGAGGTACAAGGGAGGGGGGGAGTGTTTCTCATATTTTTGGTAGTTTTTTTTTTTTTTACTTGGAATGGAGTTCTTCCTTGGAAACTCCTTTTAGGTGGTTATAGGACGTGAACGGAAATGTTTTTTAGGCCTTTTTATGGTTGTTTGCATTTATATGTTTTCTTATGTTTATGGCTGCATGATGCATGAAATGTGGTGTCTTGCATGTTTCCTTCTTCCTTTCTACAATGTTGGATAGTTTAGTGTGTGTCACCACCCACATTAATTGCATTTTGCATATCTTTGCTGTATATGAATGTTCCACTTGAGTGTCACTACTTTACTTAATAGAATATTTCTAACCCCATGGTTTTCAGGGAAGATATAATGTTCTAATGTATCCATTGCTAAGTTTATATATATGTGTAAAAAGGAGGTTTTGTGAGAAATAAATAATTCTTGAAGTGTGTGTGTGTGTGTATATATAGATATATATATATATATATATATAATAGCTAATTCTCTTGTATTTTTAAGTTAAAACATAATTCCTTTTCTTTTGTGGGATATAAATATTTTATAAATATTACAATTTGTACGTGAGTACATTTCTTTAAACACAATGGTGTATTGAATGAAGATCTTAGAATATTATGGGAAGGAATGGAGTGGGATTTTGTGAATGTTAATAAACGTTATGTGGTGAGTCTTGCGCATAGAAAACGACAATGTGATGATTTGGAACCCTTGAGGGACCTTGTACCTAAAACTTGGTGGGCATTGAGAAAACCTATATTACATAATGAGGTTGTAAAAACTTTGCATGAATTGGTTGAAACATGCATCATGTGCATATTATCAACATGAATGTAGAAGCATACAATTTGGTACAACTATAGGATGTTGGCCACCATTTTGACGTGAATAAGCCCTACAAAGATCGTGCTAGAGATCATTCTTGAATTTGCTTGTTGAGACAAGTTTTTAATATATCAAATTTATGTTTTGGCCATGGGCCAACACCAGTAAGGAATGATTGACACAATGCTTCACTAAAATCCCCCAAAGGACCATTTAATTATAAATTGTAAAGTAAGTTCACAGAAATAATACTCTACTATGTACCTGCAACAATTTTAGAAACAATGCTGAAGTTAACAATCTTTAATTCAAGTTGCAGTATAAGACGTAATAAGTACCTGCATTTGCACTAAAAGTTCAGTTTTAATCCTTCTAGATGCTTCACTTTCATTGCCTTCACCTCGTTGACCACATAAAGAATCTATTTCGTCAATAAAAATAATCGAAGGAGCATTATCACGAGCCATTTGGAAAAGACTTGAAACCAGCTTTTCACTCTCACCCATCCACTTAGAAACAAGATCCGATGATGAAACACTGCAAAGATAGAACATATACACTTGAAACATTAATTAACTCTTGAATGCAATTTTATGTTGTAAAAACATTTTATATCCTTTGTTGACCAGTATTTGAGACTGAAGCAAACACCAGCAGAACAATTATTTTGAATTATAAAATATTACATACAATCATATAATGATATTAAAGAAAGACTTAAATATGTTATTGGTTTCTATAAATGTAAGTTGTTTTTGTGATAAGTCCCTATAAATATTTCTATTAAGAAGTAGTACATGAAAAGTTGAAAATTTAGGAATTAGTTTCTACTTTTAACCCCCTTTGTTAAGTGCTGAGCTAATTGACGGACTCAGCATTGACACATGACACCACGTGACTTGCCACGTCATTTAAATTTGTTATTTTTTATTAATTAAAATAATTATTTACAGAAAAGTCCATAAACATGTTTTATATTTTTGCAAAAAAAGCTCCTTCTTTCTCTCCAAACTTCTCTCCCTAAATAGCATTGGCAAACCCACCCCAAACCTCCACTTTCCTCACCCCAACCCCAACCCCAACCTCTCTCACCCCTATCCGACATACCTTCTCCTTCCCACATTCTTACTCTTCCAGCATCTATTTCTCATTTTCACCCTTCTACCTCCACCCACCCCCCTTTCCCACCCTTTTCCGGAACTCATTCTCCTTCTCACATTCCTACCCCTTCTGGTACATATTCCTCATTCTCACCCTTTTCCTACCTCCACCTGCCCCCCTCTCTCCCACCCCTTTCCCGCACCCCTTCTCTTTCTCACATTCTTACTTCTTCCGGCATCTATTCCTCATTTTCACCTTTCTCCTACGTCGGGCTCTTTGAATCCAAGAAGTCACATAGTGTCATAAAAAAAGAATCAAATGACATAAAAAACCTCTCTTTGCTTTCGTTACAAGGACGGCGCTAGGATAGACTGACTAAGGAATAGAATCGCATCTGCCTACATGAATGGTCTACAAAAACGACTCAATCGGATCGGGGGAATACCTTTCTGAGTGAGGTAATTAGCTACTCCAGATGATCCAGCTTATTTGAAGGTAGCCCCCTTCTCTTTCAGTGGATGCATGCAGCAAGACTACGGGAGTTATACTTCTTCGTCTTTCAGAAGCTAGTGAGACAATGGGTCCAGCTTGGACTCCCGAAGTGCTAGCCTACACACTACTTCCTATAGAAAACCATAGTTTTCGCTTCCTCTCATTTCACTCGTCGCTTCCGCTGCCTGGAGGTTGTAACAATCCTCAGTTTCCAGATATGCCGCACTCTACCCAGATAACCCACTAGCTTCTTTGCTCGCTGGATTGCTCTTTCGTGGTCTCATTTTAGCTCTTGTCCCCCTAGTGAGTTACTTGGGTGAAGATAACTCAATATCCATAAGTTTTTTGATACACAGGATCCTCACAAAGAGGCAAGGGTAGAGCATACTTTCTTCTAGTTAGGAATTAGAAGATAGTCATCATAAATTAAACTTTCAGAGAGAATCTAGTAAGAATACATGATATTATAGAAACAAAAATTTTATTTCGATTTTTCTTATCCCATACAAACTGTTCCTCCTTATATAGAGGATGAAAAACAGACAGCATGATTACAAGTAGACACTATCGGATAAGAATCCGATACTTTTCTAAAGGGGCTTCAAATAAGCTTACAAATTGAAACAAATTTTAGTACAATACAGTAAATAAAGCACACCAAACATTGCCCAACAATGATTCGTCTGGATCCTAAGAATCTAGCATCATATTTATTATCCTTGATCTTGATGATTCAGCTTGATGACTCATGAGGATGTGCCATTTTAAATTCCATTCACTTTTTTCTTTATCTGAAAAAGCATTCATTGGTGGCATTACTTTGTGAATTTTGTTCCACGTGTATTCTTCATCAGGCATTGGAGGACAAATAGTATCGAATGGTTTTAGATTAGTGTAAGTGGAATTTACTTTGATCATTTCATCTCTTGATCCACTGATTGTGTGGAGATGTATGATTAGGTCAAATTGATGAAAAGGAGGTTCATCATCTTGAGTAAAGATCCTTATATTTGGATAGGTATTCCATACCATTACCTGGTTTTGAGTGTACAATAACTTTGATGTTGGATGTTGGAAATATGGCCTGTGAATTACTGCAACAGTCATATTTTTTGGGAATTCAAAAGGTGGCTGATTCTCTCCTATTTCTTTCCATATAGCAACTCTTTCCATCTCGATTTGAAGATCTTTCTTCCAGGATGATATTGGTTGATACTAAGTTAAAAACTTCCATAACAAAGATGACTCATTTTGAGTGTTATTAAGGAATTCAAACATCTTGAAAGTGGAGAAAATTATAGGATAATAAAACAATAAAGAGACACACCATAGATACCAAAGATCTTCCTCAATAAAAGGAATTTCCATGAGTAGAGCAAAGATATTCAAGAAAGGTGCATTAGGATGAAACCAAGTGGGTTTTGGTCTAATATTATGATTATATAAGGGGAGGGCTAGGTAACGGAACATGTGATTTCTCGCCAAATCTTTGATATATGCAAGAGTGATTGGTTCTTCAGTAATCAATTCAGGAGGGAACACAAGGTGGTAAGGATTGCTGCTACTGGCATTTGCTTGATGAAGAGGAAATATCAATGGGTATATTTGAGCAAAAGTAATAATGGGAATTGGCTTTCTTGGTTTGGATAACATATCAAGTACAATATTTTTTTCACCTTTGATATGCTTGACAGTGAAGTTGTATCTAGAGAACCAATTTTTGAGTCTGAAAACTTGAAGATCAAGAGGCATTTTATTTTTGAACTCAAGAAGAGCAGGAAAAGAGGAGTTATCCATCTATACTTCAAAATTATATCCTCTTAAATGGAAATCAAACTTCTGTATTCCATTTTTAACCGCAAGAGCTTCCTTATAAGTTGTATGATAATGTTTCTCAGATTCTTTGAATTGTCTACTTGCGTGTCTACAATAAGCCTTTCTCAGATTACTAGGAAGCTGTCTTATTAGAAGAAGTTGATGGGAAAAAAAGTTACCCCGCAACTGTCACATCATTTAATTTTTTAATATTTTATTATTTAAAATTAATATTCAAAATCAAATCCCTGAACATATTTTAAATATTTATTAAAAGGTACCTCGAAACCTTGGTCCCCTTCCCTTCCAACGCCTTCTCCTGCGTTTCCTTCTCCCTCTGTTCTTAAGATTCAAAAAGTTCAATGAGCATCTTGGCAACAAGTTAAAGAACCTACATCTTGTTAAGAATTCCAATGTGGATGCATAAAGTTTGTCTGTAGAGCATCTGAAACCAACAAGAACAAAGGGAGGAGATAGAGGGGAGAAGAAGGCACTAGAGAGGAAAGAAACCAAGGTTCCAAGGGACTTTTTTGTAAATATTATAAATATGTAAGAGATTTATTTGTAAATATTAATTTTAAATAATAAAATATTAAAAAATTAAATGACGTGACAATACCTGGCAGTGATGAGTTGGCTCTCCATGAGCCAACTAAGCACTTAATAGAAGAGAAGTTGATGGCAGGGACTAAATCTTCCTAACATCTTAACATTTTAGAAATTAAATCTTAACAAAAAATTTTATAAGAACTTATTACAAAATATGCTACATTTATAGGGACCACAACTATATTTAAACCTTAATATAAATACATAGCCCATGGTGTAGTTAAAACACACAGAATTCATCCGATGTTTTCTCATTTTCTCTCATCTTAACACACTTTATTATTTTCAATATGTAAATATAATACATTAATATAAATTAGTCATCAATATCTCTTTATAAATATTTTGTTTTTGTATAAAATATGTTGTCTATTTGAATTCATGCTAACGTATCTAGGTCGTATCTTATCTTAAATTTTCAAGAATCTCTCGTATCCTCATATCTATGTCGTACTAAGTATCTGGGTTTTATAGGGTTTCAGTTTTGAGCAAGAGGCACATAGCACTATTCTTGTTCCTTAAATGAGATTATTGATATAATAAAGTGGATGCTCATAAACAACTTTGTAAATGTACTTGTGGATGCCCATTATTGATATGATGAGTACCTAAAAAGATTGAATATCTGGCTGCATATGTGATATGTCTACTGAGTGAACAGAAACTTTATTTATTTGATTTCTCCATTCTAGAAAATTTTATATTTTTACAATTTTACTTCATGAATATTTTCATCAAAATTACCCTGTACTTAACAGTTAAAAGTTAATGTAAAATTTTGATGCAAGTCTGGTCAGACAGGTAACCTCTATTAATATTGAAAGACTGACGATGTCTTCCAAGCATATAGAAATGTACACTCATATGACCATGTACTACTACTAACATAACTATTACTATTACTATTTATCTAATAATTCTCTTTTCTGAATTTCTAAAATTAATTGAACACATGAAAGCATATTCATATAATCATTTTATTGTGCTCTGATTAATTCCTTTTTTGAGTAGCATTTGCATATGACTCCTTTCCAATACAGCAATGGGTACTGTTTACCAAGGAGAATTGTACTGTGTACCATTATCATGCCATTAATTAACCTGAGAAATACTCAGTTTCTATTTCTGATAAAATTATATCCTATACAGTACTAGAAGCAAGCAAAAGCAAGAGAAGACAATGCAAGAGAAAATGAAAAAGAGATGTGTATCAGATCAAGCAATGAGGAGGAAAGTTGCAAAGGTATAATGGTCGGGTAGCAACAAAGTGAATCAGTTCCTGTGGAACTGGTGGACAAAGAAATGGAGGGGTAGTTTTTTTTTCATAAAAAAAAACTTCTATTAAGTACAGTAATCCAGTTTTTAATGAAGCAACTGAATACTGTTTGTTGGGGTTTTGACTTTTGATGAACCAATTATAGGCTCACACTGTTCCCAAAAAATTTGGATTCACCATTAAAATTGGAAAACAGTTTATTTCATTGATTTTCTAAGTGGACTATCAATAGCCTGAGATTAGTGGAATATATGATACATCAAAGTAAGATAAGAAGAGTATTGTGATTGCTTAAACTTTGTAAATACAGCATAGTAATTGACAATCAGATGTCAAGCTCACTTTCCAAAGTCTGTGGCTCTTTGGTTGTGAACTATCTCCTATGTATTCATGAATAAAATACCTGAAGAATGTAGAGTCTGCCTCTGTTGCTACTGCCTTTGCTAAGTATGATTTCCCTGTGCCTGGTGGACCATACAACAGAAACGCTCTCCATGGTTGTCTCTTACCTAAGTGAGTATAACATGACGTGAAGTTGTCAGCACAATAGAGATAGTTAATCCATTAAATATGATCTTTGGTTTTGATTGGTTCTAAAAGGACAAGACTCCAATTAGTCTTAAAGAAGTTTTCCTTCTAACATGATTCTAGTTAGACTGTTCCATCATAAAAACTCACTCCAATTTATCAATAATTACTTAGTAGCAATGATTTTACAGTTAGCTTTTTCTTCAGATGCTATTATTGTTTCAACCATCAACATAGAAAGAAAAGATTCCCTGCTCCTGCAATTAGGGGTTAATGGAACTAAATTTCCATGCCTTGTAAACCACAGTGTAAATAAACAAGCACTAAGGATGATTTTTCTCATTGATAATCAGTGGAAAACTGAAACATGTATCAGGGTGTCAGGAGACCATAACTACATCCCTAGAGTACTAACTTGAATCTGTTACAACAAATTTTTCATCCATAATTAAGATGTACAAGGTTAAATATAAATCACATGGTTGTTTGATAATCACAGGAAAGAGAATCAACTAACTATGTAAGTGTGACTCCTCAAACTGTTACTAGCCGCTCTGTTTATCTTGTGCAGAGTAGAGGCTTTCCAGCTTATGGATCTAATTTCCTTTTCTTTTCAAACTAATGTAGTTTCAAGCTTTCGTAAAAGGCATGACTCTAGTTGAATAAACAAACTATGGTACTTAAAGCCATACAATTCCAAAACTCAAAACTTAAAGATGTTGTCCATGGTAACCATAACCTGACCTATTCACTAAAAAGCATCTACCTGTAGTGTAGCCTATACAGACACCGAAATAGAACTAAGTAATACCAGAAATAAAAGAAAATGCAAGTACCTAACATCAAGATTCATCAACATACCAGTGAAAAACTGTGGGAACTTAACAGGCAATATTACAGCCTCTTGTAATGCTTTTTTGGCACTCTCAAGGCCAGCAATATCACTCCATCTAACATTTGGCTTCTCCTTGATTATAACAGAATCAAGACCAGCCTTCAGCTTTGCTATTTCAGGATCCTCCTTGTCTTTCTGCCCTCCCTTACTTGTATCTGTCTTGGGTCTCACAGAACCTGCTGCTGCATCTCTATTCACATTTGCTTCACTACCTCCCGCATCGAGAATGGCACTAATCTCCTCAGCCCTCCTCAAGTATTGAGCAAATTTTTGAGTTATTGCCTCCTTGATCTTAGGGTGCTTCTCATACTTCAAATGGGCCCTTAAGTATTCCAATGCATTCATATAAAGAGTAAATGCTTTCTTATAGTTCCCTGCATCATCCTCGTGAACTGCCTGCTTAACATATTCAGCAGCATGCTCCTTGAAATTGCAATACATCTTCAAATTACTGTAAATTATGTTCACAATCAAAAGCAATAATTTGCTCTTACCCTTTAACTGTAAAATATGTTCAAAATGAAAAATACCCTTTTGATATTATTGACTATTGAATACACTCAAGGGGCAGAATTTCGTCTATCTAGTGGAAAATTTCATAAACTCAATTACTCAGAGACCTTAAACTGTGTCACTTTCTTAACATTAACCGATAATAATACCGCACGAATTAACATAACAATACCGTTATGAAACAGAGGAAGAAGATCACTTTGATTGAACTATAGACTATAATTACACACAGGTGACACAGCTATTACACAACAGTCACATCAGAAACAAAAGGGTATATTTCGAAGTTGAAAAATCAACAACTTTTGCAAATTTATTACAAAGTACGAATGACGATGGCCATTAAATGCCCAGAAGGAAACAGAAGCACGAATATGTAGTAAAAATAAAAATCCAAATACAAAAGCTTAAACAAATTGTTAAATCATGAATCAAAGACGAGATCGAGAGAAGCGTTGTAACTATTGGGAAAGATTTTTGGGGTAGAAACAAAACAGGAAACAACAACCTCCCAATACAAAACGGTCGTGGGAATAAAATGTCACTGTTGTAAGCACCAAATTGTAAGTATAAATTTCAATAAGAAAAGAATTTCAAAAAAGTTAAACTATAAATTTTAGTCTGCGGGGTTTTTTAACTTGTTCTTGGGAAAAAATAACTACAATTTAATTCTTACATTGAATAAATATTTTTAAATTAATCTTAACTATTTAAAATTCTATTAATAACTAACTAGAAGAGACTAAAACAAAAAAAAAAAAAAAAAAAAAACTCATATAAGAGTTAATATGTAAATTTTAATTAAAAATTAATTCATAAATAAGTGTATATATAAGAATTAAGCGTGTATTTTAATCATAAAAAAAAAAATATTACTGTATTTAGTATAGTATCTAGTAAAAATTGTTTTATATAAAAATTAATTTTTTAAATTAATTATGTACAATAAAAATTATAATAAAAACATTAATATTCATATTTTATTCATTTATTTTAAAGTATAATAAAAATAAAAATATTAATTTTAACTTTTTAAAAAAATTTAAGAAACTAATTATAGTAAAATTTTATTAAATTTTAAAATAACTAAATGTATATTTTAACTATAAATAAAAACTGACATGTCAAATGAAAAAAAAATCGTGAAATTTAATATACTTAAGAATTATATTTTAAGTATATTTATATTTAATAAAGTTTCGTATCTCAAATATAACAAATCTTTTCTTTTTAATAAAATAAAAAGTTTTTTTAAATATTTTATAATAATTAATATAAAATTATTAATATTAATATTTTATTTATTTATTTATTTAAAGATATGACAAAATAAAAAATAAAAAATGTTAATTTCACCTCTCACAATTAAATTTAAATAACTAATTGTAGTAAAATTTATTAAGAAAATAAGTATTATATTGTTATACCTTGAATATAATGAATTTTTTATTTTTTTAGTAAAATTTTTTCACTTAGATATTTAAACTTAATCTTAAAAATTTGAATTAACAAAATTTTATAAAATAAAATAATTTTTTAATTAAGAATTAAGTATATTTTAAAGATAAAATTGAGTTATAATATAATTTTTTAAACCAAATTTAATTTTTATATTTTTTTAAAAATTATAAATAGTTAAAACATATATTTAATTTTTTATAATTGACACTTATTTATTAATTTTTATATTAAAATTTATACTATAATCTTTATACAGATTTTTTTTCTTTTTCTTTTTTACATTGGTTCTTCTTCCTAATATTGTTAAAGCGTGTTAAATGATAAGAATTAATCTAAAAATATTTATTTAGATAAAATTAAAATTAAAATTTTTTATAAATATCAAATTAAAAACGTGTTAAAAATAAAAATTATAATTATAATTTAACTAATAAAAAATTATATAAATTGATAATTTATCACTTCTAAGTGATGAAAATGTAACGAGAAATACTTTATAAGAAAACATATATAATGTAACAAATAAAAGTAAAATTAAAAAAAAATCAAGAACTTATTATTTAGATTTACGGAAATAAATCAGTAGATTAACTCGGCATCTTTATAAGCATGTGGATAAAATAGTTTTTAGTTTAAATAAGGTTTTGTTCTTTTTAATCTTTATAGTTTTTATTTAAATTTATATTTTTAATATTTTATAAATAATTCCCTTAAATTTTTTTATATAGTTACTTTATTAGTAATTTGGTACTTCTGAAGTATATATCTATAAACATTGTATGATATAAAATTAATAAAAATAATGATGTGATATTTATATTTCATTTTAGAAGTCATAATTTTATAAGCTTAAATTTTATTTAAAATATGAAAAATATAATATTATTAATGATGCAAATTTATAGGATTATTAAAATAAACATATGTCGTAATCAAATTAACAAATAACAAAACAAATTAATAAATTATTATTAGCAAGATCATTAAAAAATAAAAAGTAATTTAAATTTGATAAAATTAAAATTGAGTTATGTTTGAGAGTCAACCAATTATGTGAGTAAAAGTTATAAAGAAATTTTGTAATGGGTGACACCTTAATTTATGATTTGAGTTACTATCTAAACATCTTATTTTACGTGTTAGTTGAAAATAATGTTGTAACATCTATTTTGCAAAATATTTACAAATGACTATGTAAATATTTATGCCTGACGTTGACTGATGCCTGACGTTGACTGTTCCTAAAGTCTTTGTTCAAGAAGAAGTATATTTGACGATGGTCTCATACTTCGGTCGTCGGAGGTCTTTGTTGGCATGGCCAACTGTGTTTGTGTACTCTTCGGGCAGTTTTTTCTTTTATTATTATTATTATTATATATATGACTTGCCATTCTGAAATTTAGACAGGTGCATATGTATAACTTCTAAAAAATTTATTTATATTTTTAGTTCCTATTTTTATTTATATATAATTTTAATTAGTTATATTTAAGGTTTTAAGTTATTACTCTAAGATTTCATTTAATAGGTAATAAAAATATAATATATATTACTAATATATTTTTATTTTTAAAAATATTAATATAATAAACTATAACAATAATTTTTTTATTAAAATTTTATAATAAAAATTAAAAATTTTAGATTAATTTTATATTTTTATATTTTTATGATTATTTTTAATATAATTCAATTATTTTTTCATTCATCTAAAGGACTAAAACAAATTATTAATTATTTTTTATTTTATTTTAATCGATCAAATATTTATATTTTGTATTCTATTTTGCATCTTCTATTTCTTTTTTCTATATTTTACATTTCATTCAAACAAAGACTTAAGATTTGTTTAGATAGTATGGAAGTAGGAAGTAGGGAGAAGAGAGAAAAATAAAAGAAAAGAAAATAGAAGAGAAGATAAAAATTTGGATGTTATGGGAGAAAGAGAGAGGATGTTCTGGGATTTTTATTTTTTTTAATTTCATTTTTTATTTTTAAAATATATTAAAAATATTAAGAAAAATATTATAACAAAATTCTGGACTTGTATATGTAAGACTTTTTGGTTTTAAGATGTATTTCCTCACACTTTATTCTTCCTACGCTTTTGATAATTATAATTAAGTTATTACCTTATTATTATGCAAAACAGCATTGTTTATGTACTTATCTCTTGTTAATCAACAATGTACGTTTTGTATCCTTTGCCACAACTTACTATCATAATCAAGGCTCCTAGTTTCTAGTTGAATGAAGAGTGGAATAAAGAGGAAACAAATAGAAAATAAAATAAAATAAATTCATTTTTTGACAGATTAAAATAAGAAAAAATGAAATGAAATGAAAAAAATTCATCTCTACATGTTTGAATGAATAAAAAATAAAAAAAATACACTAAAAATAATTGTAAAAGTTAAAAATAATTAAAAAAAATCCTTTATGCCCCCTTTTCCTTAATGGGAGAAATATTAATTTATTTATATTTTGTGAGACTCACTCCAAAAAACTTGCATGGCTCTTCCCAAAAAACATACACACACATTGTTTATGGTAGCATGCACATTAGCTAATTGCCAACAGCTACTTGCTGGTTGATTGATGATTTGATTATCAACTAATGGTTGTTTGCTCCCAAATCAAGCTAAAATGTGTATAGCTACCTGTTATTCAGCTGATGAATAATGCAGTGCTGTCTCTTCATCAACTGTTACTAAATACTTGCACCCAATCCACTAGCTTGCAAAATTTTTGGTGTCAATAAAATGTTGCAAATTCATATTCTAATCACTTTTCACTCTTTTCACCTTATTTGCCTGCAGATCGAAGAGACTTCTTAGCTCAAGGGCTTAGTTTTTAAAGCAAATTGTTTATTTCAAAATTTGTGAAAATTGATTAAAATTATATTTTACTATTTTTTTTATTTTTGACTTAGTATTTACTTAAAATTGATTAGTAATTTGAAAATACTTATGTTAGTTGTTAAATACCTCTGCACTATAACAACAACTTCTAAAGATATATAATCTCATGATTTTTTTTTCTATAACAAAATTAAGATAAAGCATTTAACATAAAATTAAAAAGATATTGAAGCAATAATTGAACTAATCTTTTAATTTTTTTAAAAATAAAAGGATCATAAATGCACAGTTTATTTATTCAGTTATTTTTAAATAATAAGTTATATCAAAAAAATTATTGAAATAAAATAAAAACAACTTTGAAAAGGACCATAAACCCTACATCATATGTTTTTCATAAATTATGGAAAAGACCTTAAACCCTAAATCATATTTTTATAAATTATAATATATGTGCTTCTTCCATGGGTAAGGAAGCTTCTATAATAACTACATGGAGTTGGTTACTAACTTGTTAATCCGTTACTATAATGGTCCTCTTCGCCAACACAAGAATAACTAGTTTGTAGTCAAAGTATTCGCTGACATGTAAGGTGATATGCATCTCTGAACCTGCAAGCAAGTCATTTTTTAATATAAGAAACATCCATTGATTAATCATGACAGCGTGAAGACATAAAATTTCAAGGACACCCCACCCTGCTAGTCCCAAAACAATTAAGGTAATGACAATGTATCCTTGGTCATAATAAAATTGATATGTATGACTTCAAGTACAACATTGATGTTCAAAAGGAAAAGAGAAAATAGCAGCTAATAAACAGAATATTATTGATAGACATAATGTTACAATATCTTAACCAGGCCAGAAATTCCTATAGTGAATAAGGCTTGCCAATATCTTTCTCATCCCTTGGAATCTCATTGAAGGGTTGTTACAAGAAACCTAAGGTATCTGAAGGCAACCGTATCACATGGTTTATTGCTGCAGCTCTCAGATCCTACCTCTCCTTTACCTATCTGGGCCTATTGTGGTGTTGATGGGACAAGTGGCCCAGATGACACAGTCAACCTCTGATTTATGTATGTTTCTAGACCAAACCTAGTTTCCTGGTGGTCATAGAAACAAAATTCTCCCTCAAGAATTTTCAGTGTTCCTCACGTTAGAAAAGCAACTTGGGACAACTCTTGCTCCC